CTGACGAGATTTCCAACATGCAGTGAATACACAGCGCGCGTGGGGTGAGTGATGCCGCCCTTCAAAGGCAAAGGAGGTGGGGGAAATGAAGGGGTCTCTATGCGCAAGGGGGCGCTGGAGCAGCAAGAGGGGCGTGTAGGTGAGGGAGCAAGAGCGAGAGAGAGGGAGGAAGAGAAAGAGAGAGAGAGCAAAGAGAGAGGGACACAAAGCAGGCCACCACTTCGTTAAAATCTGTCAAGCGGTTGTCTGACACGGGTGCGCGTAGGTCGATGTGCTTGCGTACGTTCACGTGTGCAATAGATTTACATCCCATGGCCATATGAAACACTTACCGCATAACTCGTTGTTGTTAACCTGGTCACACCAGCCGTCCCCCAAATCCCAAAAGTCGCACTCCTGCGAGGCTTCGACGGTGACACCGTCTTCGGCATAGCAGGGTGCGTCCGGGTCGACGCAGGCAAACCCAGAGCCGTTTTTGGAGCAGATCCAGTGGTGGTCGCCGCCCTGTGGGTTCTGGTGTTGGAAGCGCGCGGCAAAGAGAGGACAAGTAAATTCTCACAACCGCGGGGATCTCGGAATGAGAGAGAGGCGTGGGAGTGAGAGGTGAAGAGAGGAAATTCAGGGAACCCGCCTAGGACACCTTCCGTGTGCATGCGTACCAAAAAGAGAGAAGGTATGTCTAGGAAAAATGGGTGAGAGAGGGGGGGATTGTTCGGCCTGAGAGATGGGAGGGGAAACGCACATCGAGAGTAACTATATTGACTGCCCCTTGTAATGCCTACGGGTAGTTCCAGCGCTTTTGGTGCTTCGGATGTGTACACCCGTGGACACGAAGAGAAAGAATATGGTCGAGGTCAGATTCAGATTGGTGGTAAAATAGGGGTGTGGAAGAAGGGCGAGGGGAGAGAATTCTACTGAGGATGGAGAAGCCACCTTCTTTAGTAGAATCCTTTCACGATTCACACTTTTTACAGTTCTCACCACGCATGTGCACTCGCAGCAGTCACCGCCGTCGTAGTCTGGGAGACACGGGACAAACAAGGACAGAATGGGGGAGAGGGCAGACGATAACTACCAGGGTCACACCTGACCTTGCCGTTGGGATGAGGTCGAGCAGGCTTGCATGCTATCCAAATTCTAGTCAACTTTGCAAGAGGAAGGGCATGTTTTTTCAACATCTTCACGTCTGGTGTTGAGCCACCACTGCCCACCGACCGCTTCATGAAAGGGCAGCCAACGTGAAAGGAAGGAAAACGGCGGCATGGACAGGGCAGGTACGGCGAGAGGGATTGCCAAGTACAAGGGGTTATTCGCCATGTTACCTCCAACCTCAATCCGAACCCATCCCTCCCCCTCACCACCGACTCACCGACTCACGCGTAATCGCTGACATTCTTCGCCCACATCTTTTCCCGCTACAGCCTAAATAGTGCCTGCTCTATATTCGAATTTTGTGCAACCCTCACGTCACTTTGGAGGGAATGTTGGGGAAACTAATGGGTCTAGTTCTCGTTTTGGTTTGGGGATGTCCTATGCATACAGCCGTCATCGCACCCGTGACAGTTTCGTGGGAGATTGAGATTGGATGGGATAACAAAAGGAGATGCAGAAGATTGACTGATGGGTTGCGGACAGATATATAGGTAGGTAGGGGGGGGTGAGGGAGGGAGAGAAATAAAGAAAACGGCGAGAGAGACACATCGTAATAAATGCGGTCGTAGGAGAGATGAGCTTCTACACCATCAACGCCATGGCCACCTGGCGGGTGCATGCGAACAGTGAGATGAAGGAAGGTGAAATGGAGACCAAGAACAGCAGCATGTATCGAGAGGTCACAAATTGAAAAGGTCAAGTTGTCGCACGGCTGATTTACTCTTATGGCGTGATCTTGTTGATTCTAACCCGAACGAAACCGTTGAAAAGTGTTTCGGGGGTGTGGTCGTGTCCACGAAATCGAGCGAAACCTCCTTTCTTCACTGGATACTTTTTCCCGTTGGGTGTACTCGTTTCCAGGGCCAACGTACCGCACTCTGGATTGTTGTTCCCTTTTTCGCAGATACCGTCTCCGATAGCGCCAGCATGGGAACAGTTCGCCACCAATTCAATGGTAACGTCGTCATCGTCGACGCAAGAGGCGTCCGGGTCGATGCAGGCCATGTACTCTTTGTCGCATCTCCCAGAGTAGTAGTCGTCATCGCTTTGAGTCTGGAAAGGGTAGGGGCAGCAGAGTTTGAGCGGGCAGTCCATTTCTCAGCAAGGGCACTTCGAGTCGGGGGGGAAGGGTAGAGAGAGAGAGAAAACTATGGCCATGCTACATGGAACCCTCTGTCATGAGTATTTGAAACGTGGAAACGCATCGGGCTTGCATCCGCCATGCAGTATGCCAGTACGAACGGGTGCGCTCGATTGGAAAATCAGACCGTGTCGAGGGCGGATGGGGCACACAAAACATCACAGTCAACATCTCGAAAGAGAACAACGGGTGAAACCGATCTTACCTGGCAAGTGCACTCGCAGCAGTCACCGCCGTCGTAGCCTGCGAAAGCGGGGGCCAATGGGGGGACGACATCGAATGGCAACAGGAAACAAGAGGGAACGGACCTCAGGAAGATAGTGACGAGTCAGCTCGAACCCGATGCAACGAGGGTATTGTAGGAACGGTTCAGACTGTAGCTGGATGCTCGGGTCGTTGCGCCTTCAGCACGTACTAATCTAACCTAAGGGCGATTGCTCATCGCACAGCAGGGTTTGCAGCTATGACTACTACTCGCAGGAATGTGCGACAGGAGCTTTTATCACTCTTGAACAATATTTCCAAAGATGGGCACGTCACACCACCAGGAGGTACAGTACACATACCGCATTCTGCGTTGTTGTTTGGCGGCGTGCAGTACCCGTCTCCGTAGAGAGCATCCCAGCAGCCCGAACTGCTCAACGAGTTGGCGGCGACACTGGACAGGACGACCGCTGCACCGAGGACGCCCAGCAGGCGGCTGGAATGTTTTGTCATGGCTACTACGCCACACCTCTCCAGGGAGTGTGGCCTGCTTGACGAAAGCATCGCAGAGCGATTGAACTACACGGTCAGTTAACCTCGCAACCTTGTGAGGTGTGAGACCAGGCTTGGAATCTCAGCGTAGTCGCACGAACAGGAATATTAGGTGTTGTTGTCTCAGCGAAAGAAACCGTCCAATCTACAAATATTTGATCGCGCGTGTTGGGTAGCTGAACGATTACGCCATCCGTGGTCGCAAGCTAACTGCTGCACCTACAAAGGATGGTGCATACGACGAAAATAAATGAAACGCAGGACCAAGACGAATCAACACAAACGCGCTATCATCCTACAGAGGAAAGATACTTCATCAACAGTCAGACTACGCAAGAGTGATATGCCCGACAAAGGATCGAAGCGCAGAGCTTTGTCGACCCTCGAGCGACAGGCGAGGCCAAGCAAACTCGTCATCATGAGCGGACGTCCATGGAACGAACAGGGGACGACACCCCGTACGCCGCCGGCGTCGTGTCTGCGGTTTTCGACGGAAACGGTCAACCGTAAAGCGAGAATCCCCAAAGGCTGGCACGAGGCGTTAGGCCTTGGTTTCACCGCCCTTGGATGTGGGGCGATCTGTAGACGGTTTGGAGACCTCAACCCGTCGTAACTCTTAGTTGACTTTGTGAAGGGGATCTCCACCACGCCCTCTTCCAAGTGTTGGTTGATAGGAAAGCTGGAGGGCTTCAGGGATAACAAGGAATCCGACAACATCGAAATTCCACGCCCAGGATAGATCAGATTGTACAGATCGAACTGTGCATTGCTCTTTCGAAGGGTATGTCCCTCGTGATCGGTATGCATACAACGCCCTGTACGTTGGCCTGTGTATGTTTGCCCGAGGTGATCTGGAAGACATGGGTGATCGAGTATGTTTCGCTTAATTGTGGTCTGAAGGACAGTGATCGGGGTGTGCTCTTTCCCAGGTCATCTGAACGTCGTCGGTGATCGGGGTGAGTTCGGCCGAGGCGACCTGAAAGGCGTGTAGGTGATCGGGGTACATGTTTGACCAAGGTAGTCTCAAGGACATCGGTGGGTGATCGGTGCACCGCATACAGAACGCCACAAAATAACATACCCACCACAGAATACCACACCCGGTTTTTGTAGTTTTAGTTTTCGATCTCAATCGAGGAGCCAAAACACCGCCCGGGTTACGCAAGATAGCACCCCCCTGAGGTCCCGTGTAATCAGAGAGCCCAAAAACTTTATTTCCACCTCGGTCAATATGACAGCGGTGGCCGCCGATCACAGCAAGGATGGTCACTGGTGTACTCCGAAGGACACCCTCTGAGCGCGGGGGAACCGCCCCGTACGGACACCTCTCCAACAGAACATGAACGTGCAGGGAGAACATAATACCGCTGCAACTTGTGCTGCCTCGGTAGCTGTTTCGACAGCAGCGGAGGGCAGGCTCGACCGATCAACCCGAGCAAGGTTTACCGTACGACTCGGGCGGTTTTATCGCCTCCACTGGCTGCCCCCCGCTTTACTACCAGCAGACTGCAACTTACGCTCGGCAGGAACTTCATTGTAGGCAAAAAGGTATCCGTGTTATCACCCCCGCTCAATACCACACACCCTGCAAGTGCCACAGCAGTTCTTGCAGGCAGTGGTATCACGTCCCCTGGGTATCGCACACCCGTCACGCTCCCGCGAGCTGCACTAAATACTATCACCCGGGGCCAAACGAGATAACACCCCACACAGAATACAACAACCGGCTGCTTCCGGTGATATTTTTTCCACGGAGTGTGTTTGATGGTGGTGTCGTACACGGTACGGCGGTGTCTCTGCCCAGGCTTGATCCGAAGGACAGACAGAGGTGACCGGGGTAACAAGTTGGCCCGAGACGATCTGAAGGACACATTCGGAGGTGATCGGGGCGTGTTTTTCCCGAGATGATCTACTGCGTACGGCAGGTGAGCTATAAATAGCCCATGATCTATCCCGGTGTAAAATTTTTCAAGAGGCCCCGTGTGAAGCATTGTCGCATAGACTAAAAGTAGAGACCTCGCCACCGCTTACGAACCTCTTACTGTTGGCCGAGGCTCGTTTCATGTTACCACGGCCACTATATATAGGGTGTAGGGCTTCTTGACTGAGCACCTACCTGTGGTTTCATGGCCAGGTTTTTTAGGCTTTTGAGTTCTTGAGGCTCATGTTCTTTAGGGCGCAACACGCCGATCGGATCGGGGGGTGTGCGCCTTTTTATGCATAGAAAGCAAACAAATCTACTCGTTCTTTATTATTACTACCGCTAACCGGCTGACCAATGAAAAGACGTCAGTCTCAGTGCGGGTGAAAACACAAAACACGTGTAAATGCCATGGACGGGAACCCCTTGAGCGGTAGGATGGGGGAGGCTAAGCTATTCTCCGGATCGAAGACAGGAACGGTAGCAACAGAAGGCTGTCACCTTGCACTCTAGTTCGTTCTGGAGTGCTTTCGCCTTCATATGCCTTCCTTCCACCGCCATTGTTCTCACTGACCGTCAAACGGGTGTGTTGTGTGTTTTCGTCCTACAAGTATCGGCTCGGGGTTTGTTGCCAGTATTTGATGCTTTGCGTTGGTAAAAAAACAAGCCGACCAATCTGGCGTTGAAGCATGTACAGAGTGTACAGCACTCCCACGCTGCGTATGATTCAGGTTTTGAGAGGGAGTGACCCAACCATCTACAGAGTCTAGATGACCCACCAAGGACGGGAGGGCACGACAGTAGTCAGTGTCATTTTGAAGCAGGGGCATGAAGAATAATTGCCTAGCGGAAAATGGGAACATGCGCCACCCTGTACGGCTGTTGTTGTCGTCGCGGAACACTTTCTCACACGCTAAATTCTGCTGGTCTGCTGCTGATGTACGCTGTACAGTAGTCGACCCCGCTTTAAGGACGCTCGTAGTAAGGAGAAACACCCCGACGACTTTTTTCCAGAACCGAGGGGGCCGACAGACAGTACAAATAAAGGGGGGTATATACAATTTCTATTCTGCGAACCTGTGGAGTGCTATGTTTGGTTCATCACACGCGCAACGATATAGAGCGTGGTCTGCTGCTGCTGCTGTTGGTACACATGAAGAGATTCCTACAGCCTACCGGAGGTTCCTCTGATACAAGCACCGGCAAGAAAACATGTATGTGGGGAACCAACGTGCAAGCACAAGTCTCTGCTGATCACAGCAGCAATCCACGAGTGCCCTTGCGGGCGGCCGATGCATGCCTTCTGCGGGCGAGGCATCGGGGATGAAGGCTACGGGCAGCAGCGAATGTGCACGGATTGTCAGAAGAGAACGGATGAGGACGGGATCGGCACCAGTCAGGAGCAAGACGGCGAAAAAGGTGGCCCTCCTGTGGGACAACTGCCCCGGCCACAAGATTAATTAAGAACAGCGACCCGCAAATAATCATCATCATCTGCTTGCCTCCGAACGTCACCTCCGTCTACCAGCCCATCGACATGGGCATCCTCTTCGTACTCAAGTGCCAGTACAAGACGGAGATGGTGACCAGGCTGGCGGACCTCATCGAAGACTGGGACACCGTCCGTGCACGAAAGATCCGAAGGTGGGCAAACAACTGTAGAAGAGGCGCTCTGTAATTAATTCCGTTGGGGCAGATTTTGGCGAAGGTGCTGAATATATACAAGTAAGTATTATTAATTGGTGTGGCGTCTACAACTTGACACATCGCTTATGCTTGAAACTAAACTTATTCTCTGTCCCCGATTTTGACCGCCTCGTCCCCCGTTTTGTCCCCGGTTTTGCCTCTCCCCACGTTTTCGTTTGACAGGGGTTGCCGGGGCCTCAGTGATGCAGGGCAGGCAACAATGCTGGACGTCACCGAGATCCTCTCTGAGAAGTGGAGTAGGCTCTTTGCCCAGACGGTCATCAGGTGCTGGCTGAAGGCTGACATCCTCCCCAGTAAGCACTGCAATCTGCTCAAGAGCATGGACACGCGACTGGACCGCGAGAACAAGGACGAGCAGGGTGTCATCGACGACCTTTGCGACTTGGTCAAAAATATGTCGATGCCGACCAGCGTTGCGCGATCTGCGAACTCTAGGTCCATGCCGCGAGTGTTGATGGAAAACTTGTGTGTCGAGAAGGGTGCAGGGCTCTCTGAGCAGGACATCCGACAGGCATTTCAGACGTGGCTTACTGTAGAGGACGACCCCAACGTGAAGGAAGATGAGGTCGCGTTGGAACTGCAGGAAGTAGAGAAGGACATAGCTGGCTTACAAATTGACGATGACGTATCGAGTGACGAGGAGGACGGCGACAGTAGGCCGGAGTCGTGTATTACCTCGTCCCTCTCAGAGGCCGAGGTCCACTCTCGTTTCGAGGAGCTTCGCTTGTACCTGTATGCGAATGGAACGGGGGGCGAGTACAGCGAGACGCAGCATCTTCTTTCGAAGACCGTGCATTCGTTCACTCATGAGACTCAGGTTAAGCGTAGAGCGAAGCCGAGGGGAGAGGTGCAGGGAACTCTTCGCGATATGTGGAGGGAAAAGCCGTCAGGGTAGCTTGCTCTCTTTGAAACAATAACTTGAAGTGTCTCTCACTACATCTTTGTTGGCAGTACACTTCAGGCGGCGCCAGCATGCAACAATATAGTGTACTACAATACTGCTGTGTACTGCTGCACGTGCTCGGTTTTCAAACCATCTCAATATAAAAATACTAATTTTAGTTGAGATGGATCGACGAACAATAAGGTGCTGAAATTTCGTACTGTCCTTCCCTATCAATAGCCGAGTCGTTTAAGCTACAGCATGCCTCGATCGGCCCCGGGGTTGGCGGGTTATCGTCCCCGGAAAATTAAGGACAAAACCCGCTTTAAGGACGCTTTTTTTGAAGAAAAACCATGTGCGTCCTTAAAGCTGATGTACGCTGTACTAAAAACGTGTGGTATTTGCTTGCGCGGTAGAAAAAACACACACATATTGTAACAATGTGATGTATGTGTGAATATCGCCTTCAGAAAGGGGGCAATCTCCCCCTCGTCAGCCGAGGATGATCCTCCCTCTTTACACGGTGGCGGCCGACGAAAGAGATCACGTTGTCTGCTTTTGGTGGAAGAAAAGACGACTTCAAACCCCGCAACTCGCCGTGTGGTTGAGACCAGTTAGTTGTGCTTTCAAATTCATACACATGGATGGGTACAATAAAAAAAAAGGGAGCAAGAGGAACCCGCGGACGCGGGCGACTGCAGTTATGTTGCCGAACTTCAAGTGGGGGTCTTGCACAAATATGGAGCGCTGTCTAACTTCAGTCACTATTCTGCCCAGTGGGCTGTTGGGGTGCGATGATGCTCTGGTATCATCCCGGCAACAAGTATCCATCGAGCGACGAACGAACAGCAGTTTGGTTTTGGTAGAGTTCGGAGTTAGTTGCGATGGTGCGCCTGCTTCCAAACTTCCAAATCAGCTCAAATAATGAAGAAATGGTTGTCGATTGAGCAGCTCCGCCCTTTACATCGCTACCTCGCTACGCTTGTTCTCGCCGGGACCGCCGTAAGCAGCGTAAGCACGCGAGCAATCCTCGCCCCATCTACTGGGTTGCCCTCTCCACAGGGCATGTCATGCCATCGTGCGGCGGGGGGACATCCGCACTCCAAAATGTTTGTGTAGAAGCGAGAAGATGCGAGAGGCAAAAAATACTCCCTTGTGAGGCCCATGTTTGTTTATGGTTTCCAAATCTTTATTTTCCTTTCTTCGGACAAATGTTGATTTTTTCGACCTTTTGGGCAGTCTGCCTCCCGAACGAATGCGAATCAGCTGTTCGACCTTTCTTTGAGAATACCGTATATGACACAAGATAACACACCCCCTGGACCGATTTTCAAAGCTCGATTACTCCACGACGAAGAGGATGCATAAATGAAACAATACGTTTTCGAACAGCTCTCGACGAGACGGTTCCAACGCCGCCGTTTTCGGCGCTGTGACTCTTCCTGCTGTTGAGAAATCGAGCTTTGAAAATCGGTCAAGGGGGTGTGTTATCTTGTGTCATATACGGTAGTCACAGCTTTGTTTGGCTGAGATGTCTACAGATCGCCTAGCTAGTTGTTTCGCCAGGGCCCACGTTTGAATTTATTTTTCAAGATGCACAATTTTCACGCAAGATTTTTCCAACACCAGCTTTTGGACACAGATCTTGGCCCAAGATTTGCTCCGAGGTGGTCTTTGGGCCGAATCTTGCACATCTTGAACTGCTGGAAAAAAATCAAACGTGGACCCTGGCAAAACAAATAGGCGGCCTGTATACATCTCAGGCAAAGCTGTGACTATTCTCAAAGGTCGAACAGCTGATTCGCATTCATTCGGGAGGCAGACTGCCCAAAAGGTCGAAAAAGTCAGCATTTGTCCAAAGAAATGAAGATAAAGATTTGGAAACCATAATAAACATGGGTCTGACAGCAGCAGGGCTCCCAAATGTAAATCGCAGATGCCATAATAGGTAGGTCTGTAGCAGTTCTTCTGCTGTAGTTCATCCACGACTGCGCTCACACACGGCCTACCACCTACCTACATAGATAGATAGACAAAAGTACCTCTCTCTGTACCTGGAGGAAGAAGAGCTCTTGTCCCTTCGCTGCTGTGGTTGTGTAGGGAGCTTCTGAGAAGAGTGGGGGTGTGAGAGGAAAAGAGCAGCTGGAAAAGAGGAAGGCAACTGCGGTAGTTTGCCGTCTGTGTGTGACAGAAGGCGAAATACCCCGTCAACATTCAACAGTCAGCAGCAAGCGACGCAACTCACCGCGGGGGACCAAAAGTCCACCTGCGGGCTATCAATATTGTAGCACCAAGATATACGGTAAGAGTGCTTCTAAACGATCCGCGTCCATACGCAAGCAAGCGACAATCCGATTCTTCTGTGTCGAAGACACGTACGTCTTGTCGCTGTCTTCGTGGCAACGGTAATAGATATACGATATGCAAACTCTCTTTGCAGGCGGGTGACGCAGCAGTGGTCCCGGGGCCAGAGTCCTCGAACACTTTACTTTTTTTTTCGGGGAGATTAGAGTACCGGTAGTTTCCCCGATGAATTTTTCGAAAGGGCTACGGTACTACTAGAGTTATTTAAAACTCGAAAAAATGCAAGGAACCACCAGTGGAAGAGCCCGAAAAGTGGATGAATCGAGTTTTATATCGGAGGGGACTTTTGGGCAAAAATGCTCCACTCACTGAATGAAAAGACTCCACCACATCCCGTTCGACTGGCTGTGGGTATATCTCGAATGGGTAGTCTTTCTGTGCGTGTGTTTTTTTATTATTCCTTAATGACGGGAGATAGGTTGGACGGAGGGGACGGAAGGGTAATAGGAATGTACGGGCGTGATGAGCTCAACGACAATGGCATGCTATATATACTGCTGTTGAATTTCGCAACGGAAAACAGGCTAAATAGCTCTCACGAACGAACACGTTCGTTCTTCGAGACACGCAAGGGCGGAATATGGCACACATACAACGAACGGTGTGTCGGGAAACGATTGCGAGCGCCTTGACTATATCCTGACAAGGCAGGCACATCACGGCCGAGTATCTAACGTGGTTGTCACCCCCCAGCCGGTTCGCCCAGTCAAAGCAGACTCAGACCACAACATGGTAGTAGCCACCGTCATCAACGTCGGTGGCAGGCTTGCCCACAACCAACCGTGCAGTCCGGACTAAACCGAAACAGCAGCAATTCAACCGACGGGAATTGCAGTTCGAAGCAGCACGAGGTGCGGTGACTATTGTAATCGGTTCCTCCTCAACCTCGACACACGACTGGACGAACGAACAACCACCGCCGCGGAATTGGCGACCGACTTTACCAATCAATGCTCTCCTCGAAGCAGCGCATATTTAAAACTAAAAAAATGCATGAAACCAGTGGAAGAGCCCGAAAAGTGGATGAATCGAGTTTTATATCGGAGGGGACTTTTGGGCAAAAATGCTCCACTCACTGAATGAAAAGACTCCACCACATCCCGTTCGACTGGCTGTGGGTATATCTCGAATGGGTAGTCTTTCTGTGTGTGTGTGTTTTTATTATTCCTTAATGACGGGAGATAGGTTGGACGGAGGGGACGGAAGGGTAATAGGAATGTACGGGCGTGATGAGCTCAACGACAATGGCATGCTATACTGTTGAATTTCGCAACGGAAAACAGGCTAAATAGCTCTCACGAACACGTTCTTCGAGACACGCAAGGGCGGAATATGGCACACATACAAACAACGAACGGTGTGTCGGGAAACGATTGCAAGCGCCTTGACTACATCCTGACAAGGCAGGCACATCACGGCCGAGTATCTAACGTGGTTGTCACCCCCCAGCCGGTTCGCCCAGTCAAAGCAGACTCAGACCACAACATGGTAGTAGCCACCGTCATCAACGTCGGTGGCAGGCTTGCCCACAACCGTGCAGTCCGGACTAAACCGAAACAGCAGCAATTCAACCGACGGGAATTGCAGTTCGAAGCAGCACGAGGTGCGGTGACTATTGTAATCGGTTCCTCCTCAACCTCGACACACGACTGGACGAACGAACAACCACCGCCGCGGAATTGGCGACCGCACCCGTGGCCATTGTGCCCTTGCACAGGGTCCCGTCCCAGAACACCCTGTGGCCCGTAAGCACGTGGCCAGTTTAATAAGGTCCATGCACTGGTACCCTGTACATGATCATAGGTCCCTACCCTGTACATGATTAAGGGTAGAAACCTGGCCAAGGTTCCTACCCTCGACCTTGCACATGTGGTTGGTTGTGATCACTCGACCCCAAAAGGTCGCCACACAACCATCTCGTATTGTATCAGCTGTGAGAGTCCCCCGACCTTTCCTTACGTTTATAATTATTTGCAGCCCTGAAACTGCATGACCAAGTATATCAACGCCGAAAGCGCCCGCGTACCACACCCATCAAGCATGCAACTAGCCGGCAACCCCTCTCCCAACAAATTCAGCCGTACGTACACGTGGCCCAGGTGCACATTATATGCACCATTGTACAATGCCGAAAAAAACACACTCTATTTTCAGTTAATACAACGTCTCAGGTTGCTGACCCCGGTGGCATAACCTGGCCGGGTCAGGTAAGCACACACAGCATGACCTCGTGGGTTAGGTAAGCCTTGGCTCACAACGTCGCCAGATTGTGCCCTCTCATCATGCAACGTTGTTCTGCCCCTCGGGACAAACGTTCGCAGCCGGATAACAAGTACCAGGTTTATGTTCTTTTGTATTAATTCGTCGGTCGTTAACCCGTCAGCGCGTAGTTGCACATATGCAGGTTCCCGTGCGTCAACACCGTGGTGAGCGCATGACACCCCGGCAAAAAACAAACTATACAATAGCCTATTCTGCAGACACAAATAAACGACGTCTCAAACCAAGGTCCCAGCAACCACAATCGTGGCCCGTGCTTCGTTTAGGGCACGCACGACGCAAAAAAGATTGTACGTGTACCGCGAGATAATTACGGCGGAACGAGGGCGGACAAGATGGCCGCAGCTTCTCGAACAAAGCACCGTGATGATGTACAAAAAAAATAATATGCATACCTAGCCCCACACAGCCATGAGCGGCTCCACACAAGTTTTTCGACCGGCTCACCACTTCTCGACCTCCCGCACAAACAAGTAATTGCACCAAGGAAGCCAAGAGAAGAACAAAAGTTAATTTCACTAAAGTCGGTACGAGTGAGGAAACACGCCCCCGTAGAAACTTCTCCGCATATACTATACGGTCCGGAGATTGACCGAATACCCAAGAAAAAAAAAAAAAAACAGCAGTTGGCCTTGACAAAACGGCCTCAATCGTGCCCCTTCGGCGACGTGTGAGCACGTCACAGATGCCAGCGAATCGAAAAAAACGGCGGTCGCTAACGCGGGCTTCAAGTCAACGCCCGAGGTTGAAGCTTTCAACAACCGTTAACAACCTTAAAGCTGCAGCCCCCCCCCCCCGACAGCCGCCCTCCCTGGCCCACTTTTCCCCAACTCACCCAGGCTCCACACAAAATCCCGACCAACCTGTACCACCCGAACAATTGGACTTTCCGCAAGGCAAACAAGCAACGGCGCAGGCCATCGTCAACACCCATTCCGTCCGCACATACGATATAGTCTGGATATTGACCGAAAACACAAAAAGCATAGGGCGTATACATGCTCCCCTTCCCCACCCGTCAAAAAAAAAGTGGCGCGACGGTAGCGCCAGACCGATGCCAGAGAACGGAAGAAGCACACGCCGGTCGTCTCGCCGGCCTTTTGAAGAAGATGTTCGCCACGCCGTTGTCGCGCTGACGTTAACTCTTCCCTCACGTGACTGAATAACATACAGGCAGTTTAAAACAAGCAAACCGGGGACGGTGTCATCGATCGGCCCATTTGGTTTTGAGTAGAAACGACAGGGTTTCACAGACGGTCGGCCGATCACCGTGAACAAAAGTGTCGATTAAGGGCTTGGCCTTGGGCTACCAAAGAACTCGGGAAGTTCAAACATACTCCAGTGGAAATGTGGTACATATGTAGCATACTAAAGGGTACAGTACTGTCAACAACTGGTGTCGTCAGCCACCCAAAAGCTCCAAAGAAGCTCCAAAGGATTATTCTTGTCTCGCGAAATTGAAGAGTTGGAATACACTGAACTAAAGGTCGTCGCGAAGCAAATAATCGCCAACGAATGCACATACCCAACCTCCTAGCCTTGAGACACCTCGAGACACCGTACGTATCTTTTTACAGCCACTGTGGAAAAACAAGTTGAACGAACAGGATGCACTGCACAAGACAACATCGGTTCTCGCCTAGATGAATCTTCTAGTCCTCCGTCTCAGTGTCGCCGGAACCCGCCCCTTCCTCGTACTCCGACTCGATGTCGGGGTTTTCCTGGTCGTTCTGGACGGACCCTTCATCGCTGCTCTCCTTGTCGACGCCGCCAGCGCCAGCGTCACC